ATTGTTTTCATGTTTGTAGAGTGCAAACCATTTATACGGGGTAGACGTTAAGTGTGTGGGGAAAAGTTCAATTTTAGTTTTTTCGGACCAATGGTTGCACCTTGATGCAATATTGAATTTTTGAATAAATTCATGTACATCTTCTGAAGGAAGACCTGAGTATGTGCCTGCTTTTATTAGGGGAAGTTTCTCTTTTGACTCATCAGCCATGTTTTTGTTGGTTATTTTATATGATTTAGGGTGAGATGCTATTTGTGTTGATGTGTTAGGGGTTCCTAGTTGGTTGTGATTTTGGTGGGTTTCTTGATTTAAGTTTAACGAATTAAAGCTATGTAACAATTGTTCGTGTTCTATTATTGACCTGTTTTCATAAAGGTGTTGTGAATGTTCAGGTTCAGGTTGTGTTAGGTTGTCAGAAGTGTGTGCAGTGTCATATGTTGGTTCTTGAAGTATTTTCTTGAATTTTAGCAAATCTCTAAACTGTTCTTTTGTTTTGTCTTCTAGTTTGTTGTTAAAGAACAAGTCTGTTAATGCCTCAGCAAAACTAGGATGTCTAAATGCAGTCTTGAAAACATCTTTGGTGAAAGCTAATTTTGTTCTTAGGTTGGCTAGGGTTTCGGTTTCAGGGATGGGTGGGAGTTGTATTTTATATTGACAAGCTAGTTGTAAAGCCTCAGTTTTGTTTAAGCTATATATGTCAATGTTAACAATTTCAAAATCTAAATCCATAAATTATCTTTTAAGTTTTAGTAATGTGACAAACCTACATAAGCTATTGTTACATTTGGTGGTTTTATTAAGGTTATGGGCCTAGCTAAGATACGTGTTTTTATTTGAGTTAGTGGCCTATATTGTTTTGTTTCATAATCTTAAACTAACACCCTATACATTTTACGATACGTGAGTCTGATATTAACTTAAGTGACTATATTTGACTATAAATAAACTAAAATAATTCACAAGTCATATAATTTGTTTCAAGATAATTTATTAAAATAAATGTAGGATCGTTACTGTTTAGTTAAAATGCAAAGACAGCCTTCGCCGTGCGGCTGCCTCCACCATGCGAGTCCCATGCCTCACTTTAAGATTTAGGTTTCCTAAATGTTACACTCGCTTAGCTTAGTGAAGAGGTGTTAGGTTAATGAGACATAAGACTGCTTAAGGGTGTTACTCAACGTGTAATGAACAAGAATTTAAATTTAGAAAAAACAACTAAAGTAACTAAGTGTTACAACAGCAAAAGAAAACTTAGAAAAGGCAAAAATCAACAATAATAAGATAAATAAATTTACAACGTTAAATTTACAAGAAAAGAAAATCAATTGAAAATATAAAAGAATTAGTTACTGACAAATTATATGACTTTTATGTTTGACAAAGTTTTAGTTAGATATTTTATTCTTTCTACATACTGTCTATTGTCCCAGAAGCACACACACCGATACACGCACTCCCAAACTCCCGATCTTCTTTCTCCGGTGGCCCGTGGTGATCTCCTCGATGTTTTCCTTCAGATCCTCCAGCTCCAAGAGTCTTGACCCCTCCATCTTCATCATTAGCCCTTCTCATTGGCTGATTACCGATAGGGTGTGTGGCTAATAGGTTAACGGTGTTTCTTGGAAGTCAGCCCTACCGGTCATCGCCTAGCTCACATCAGCTGGGAAAGGAATTTGTAAATCGATGCTCATGCTACTGTTCAACTCTGTTCACACCAACTGGTCGACTAAGTGTAATGTGAACAGAGTGTCTGCATAGATGAGCACCGTGGGTACGGGGTTAATCCCCTTTCTTACAATATATATATATATATTTATATATATATATATATATTTATATATATATATATATATATGTGTCCGTCAGCACGATAACTTGAGCAAAAATGATCCGATTTTGATGAAATTTGGTACAAATGTGTAAACGTACGTTTATTCGAACGAGTTCGCGATCCAGCATGATCGGACCATGGGAACGGGGGTTTACGGGGGGTTTTATGGGGTAAAAATAGGTTTTTCCCATTTTTGACCCAAAAAACATAAAATTTAGCAATTTCTTTCCAAACCGTTTTGTAGAGCTTAAAAAAACAAATAATTTAGTATATTGAAGCGTTATTATGCGCCTAATGGTTACGGAGAAAATTCCAAAAAATTGTAAATTTAAAATTCCCATGTTATTCTTATGGAGAATAAGTAAACTGTTGTAGTTTGCTTGTTTGTGAACATATTTTGATCAAATTTGGAAAATGTTTTTCTTACTAACTATTCACATTTTACAAAAAAAAAACAGTTTTACCCTCCCTGATGCAGCAAACCTAAGTACTAGTTAAACTAATTCTATTTTAATCAAGAATAAATGTTAAGTATATTTTAAAGTAGACATTTCAGTGTAAACCCAATCAGTCAAATGGAAATTCGCTTAGTCTGCAGGTTTGCTGCGGCGGGGGTATCATAGTTCTTTGTTGTTGCCTAGTTCAAATTAGCTGTTTCCATAAATGCAAAAAAAAGTATTAGTGCTGCACCCTATTGGTAAATCTTATAACTTTTTAATGCTTTTGCATTCCATAGAACCAACTTTTTAAGTTGAAACAGCTGACTAAATTATTTTATTCCCTTTAAATATGAATACTCGTAAGGTTAACATGGGGAACCACAGAGACACTGGGGCGGAGCCCGAAAGGATTTTTAAGATAAGACGGGAATGTGAGCTAGTGAGCTATAATGATCCCAATCTGTCCAGTAGTTTATGTGTGATTGAACTTCAAACAAACAAATACAAAAACTTTCACATTTATAATATTAGTAAGATAAGATTAAAAAAGGTTAAAATTTATTTAGCTTTACAATGATCAAGTAGCAAAAACCAAAAAATTGCTGGACTGAGGAGGTTGGTGTGACATAAAATCAACCTCATGAAATCATTTTGTACAATTATTTTGTATTGTTATTCATCATCATCTCATGGCTCACTCACTATTCAACATAAGTTGGGCTTAATTAGTTATTCATTGTTGTTAAGTGTAAACAACAATTAATTAATGTTAAATATTTTAAATTTTACTGTACAAGGGCTCTCTGTAAATTGAGGATTATATAAATAAAGCTCCTGTCCCAGGTAATTAAATTGAGCTGGATCAAATCACAGAACAAATTTGTGTTCTTCACATCATCCAGATCTATTCTAGCAACGCTTTTATTTGTTTTGTCACAGTAGACAAAACCATGTGAGGAAAAATCAACACTTCTGCCAAATATGAACCAGATCCTTTTACATTAGGTTTGGGGTCAACCCATATTGAAATGAAATTCAACGCTAGTAAACAGATGTATATTCAGAAAAGTGTTAAGAACTAGAAAATGTTCATAAGTGGCTTAGGGAGTTCACATTTGCACAATGAGGCAGACAGGGGGTGTTCATCAGTTCGAGAGATTGAATTCAGTTTGGGAAACCTTGTTTGATGATCGGCTTATTTAAGAGTATTACCCTTAGTCTGTTATAGTCTTAGAAACCTTCCCCATCAGTCTTGCTGCGATCCAAATGAAATATTCCACATCTACTTTGGTCACTACATAACGAGACTGATGAACGATCATAGCTGGCCTTAACTATGTTTCAGACCACGTCCAAATTCTTTTCACCCCAACACATTTTCTATGTCTAAACACTTAAATCCCCTTTGGTCGTCAACTGGCGATGGACTTATTTGTAAATAAGGTTCAACGTGGAATTTTCTTAAGTTCTATCAGAGTTTTGTATTGTAGGTCTTCGATTTGTTGGTTTGCTACGGATCAAATTTCTTTAAATCTATGACAAATCTACGAATAGTTGAATTTTAGGTACAGTAATGGAATCACACATGGAAACTTAATTTCAAACCTATCTCGGTATAAAACCAATGATTTACTTTTGATGTACAATACATAGGCCTACTCTATTTTGAGTGAGCTTGTTAAAACCCCCTTTGTCTTATCCACAATAAATTCCCAATAACACTCAAACACATAGATAACTATGCAAAAATGCAACTATACTGATTGACAATGAAGTAAAAAATAGGGATATCAACACATGAGCTTGTTTTATCGTTAAAGTGTCTTACGGTACTTGTAATTTAGGTTGCGTTACACAAGCAGCGGTGGTCTCAGATTTGAACTTGCTCGTTTGATCGCGTCAGATGCTTGTTGGAGACATGCCTCATACTTTCACCATCATAATTGTCACAGGCAGGAGACAGAGAGCCATGAGATGCAAGATGGGTTACCCCAGTGGGAGATGTGCTTCCGAGTGTCATGCCACCAACTCCGCCCCGACCTGTGTGACGGAGGGCGAGTGTGTTTGTGTACCAATGACTGAGCCGCCTTCACTCAGCCCCTCCTTGACCCTAGCAGCTCTAGAGGCCGAGGCAAGAAGTCGAGCAGCCATCTACGACTGGGCGACAACTGGCTTCTTGGTCTACATGTGTCTAGTCTGCATTGTCCTGTACTCTCGCCGAAAATACTACATACTAAAAAATGCCTCGGAGTACTGAAGTGTTTTCTGTAACCTTAAAACTAATTTAATATGTACCTTGCATTCCAAATGCTCATATTGTTTAAGAATGAGAGTTTATCGTGATAATCAAGACGGAGTAGAAAAAAACCCAAATACAAATGTGAAGTTAAATTTGTTTTGGTTGCATTATGTTTTCATTATTTAGTTTGGTTACTTCACTGTAAACTACAAAAAGTAAACTATTTATTTTGTATAAACTTTGTACTTTATTCTACATCCTTGAACAAGACAAAGAACATTCACTAAACAGAAACAGATTAGTTTAACATTATTTGTAAAGCATAAACATGTTTTACAGTGATCAAACATTTCTCATATGAAAGGATATTGATGTGAATCCTATTTCCATACACAATAATATTGTGTTTTGGGCCATAGTCTAGAACACTTCATTGCATTAATACGTCTTAAGAAATAAGTTGAAAGGAAATAAATAATCACAAATAAAATGTAGGTAAATATTGGTTTTATATTTTTAATACATATATATACCTTTTTCTATATAAGTACATAATATAAATATATCAACAAAACAAAATATTCATATAAAACTATATGTCACTACTTGGCATGTTCAGGCAGTGTAATTACAAAAAGCCATCAAACGAATAAAATTGTCGCAAAATCACTATAATAAATAACAATAGAGAAAGACAATAGTCATAAATGCTTATGTTGGACGGTTATGTAATTAAGTAATTATAAGTAAAGGATTAAGCTTGTTAACATAATTCTTAATAACTTTTAACTGGAATGAAAAGGTTGTAAATATATAGAAGTGTACACAAATTATCTGTTGTACTCATATTTTAAAATACAATACTACATGTGCATGTTGTACTATAGTTTATAATACTGACGTGCGACTACAAGTCTGTCTCACACAAACTTGTTACAAATACAAGTTTGTTTACACAAAAATGTCAGTGTTTTTAACCTGTGTTTTTAAGTTTTGAACAGATCAATAACAAGATATTTGATTGAAGTTACATTTGAAAATAAAGTGGTTTGAAAATAAATTCTAATAGTATTCTAAGTTTCATGTTTTTTTATGGTGGAAATGCATGAGGATTGATTTTAAGATTGAATAATGCGCTTAGATTCATAACATTTTATGAAAACAAATTGAATTGTAACCTTTTTAGGCACAAATCTTGCAGCTCAGATACAGAAATATCTTGGGTATAAATATATAAAAAAACAATAAACAATAGTGAGCAATACCTTAATGAATTGTCTTCCTTTACATGGGTGTAAAAAAAATGTAACTAAGAAAGTAGAAAAGAGGACAAAATCCCCCTCAGATTAAAATGTGGAATCATTAACCCAGTAAGACAAGTATTTAGCACTTTGAAAACCACAAAACATATAAAAGAATATTTTTGAAGTGTACAAAGAAAAATAACACCGAAAGACACTGTGTGCGTTAGTTAACAAACCACCAAATAAATTTACATAAACCACAATGAGAAACCAAGAACACTAATACAGACAATTTGTACACTCAGAAAACCAGTTTAACTGAGTGTTATATGATTTGGATATAGCTATCGACGACTAATTTTGACTAGATTACAATGTAAATGCTTTCCAAAACCTCAACAACAATTTTAACAATTCTAATAAATTTTTACGTTAAAATCTTTTACAAGTAGTAAGTAGTTAGCATGCAATTTAATGTTGGACACTATTGGTGTTTCTTAGTTTACAAAGAGTGATTGTAGATCAGCACCATCTGATTAGGCACTCGTCACAACTAAGTAGGCTAATGCAAGTACTTGGACTCACTGCTGCTTGCAGCCATCTTTGGCCTGTTTCTTCTTCGGTTTCTTCTCCAGGGAAGATGTCCGTCGCTGACCCTGGATCGGCATGTAAGGCGGGACTGGACCTTCATCCAAATCTTCAAACTCTGAACATTACAACAGAATAGTGTAGAAAATGTTAATACCCTAGAATAGTGTAGAAAATGTTAATACCCTTGACTAGTGGGGAATAGTGGCGTGGTTCACTTATCAATCAATTTTGACTGCAGGTGGTGTATGAGGAGGATAAGCCTTTGTTACAAAAAAACCAACAACGAGCTAAGTGATGTCATGGATGGATGGATAGGGGTATAAATTAGGTTTAGTAGGTCAGTGGCTCAGTCGATAGTGGGACGGACTACAATTCCTTTGCCACTAAATTTCATTCCTACAGTTCACTCTCACTCTTATACTGGCTGAAATCCCTGGATACATTCCACATGCAGGCAAATGACAGAGGGTAGGTTGAGAGACACTACTCACCGAGTTTATCCACACGACAAAACAACAATCCCGCTTACTAGGTAGAGAAATTCCCCCTTACTAGGTAGGGAAAATCCCGTTTTATCCCACGTGATTTTTTTTGTTCAATCCCGAGTGTTATATTTGACATGTTATGTTTAAATGGTTGTTTAAACATTTCTATATTTTGCTACAGTAATTAAATTAATCTTAAGTTCATTTTTTTCTAAAATTAAATTTAAGAAATAAAAACAGACGTCAGAGGCAAACATCCCATTTAGTCCCGCATCCCCTTTTTAATGTAAAAATATATAATGGTCTAAAAATGCTGTATTTGGAACTAAAGTGCCGCATATGGAAACACTGTACTCACCCTGTGGCTGCTGTGGTTGTCCCTGGTGGGAGTGAGAAGGCGAAGAGTGAGGTGAGTAGGTGGGGTCGATGGCCATGGCAATGTTAGGCAGCGGCGACACACACGGACTCAGCACCTCTATAGCCTCTGGGTCTGGATACCTGCAACGCAAGAGAGAGGTTAGCTAGTGTGCCCAGTAAGTCCATTTCATAGCTGGTAATAAATGAGTTATTTTTTAGCCTGAAGGTAGGCCTACTACTTGTGTTCCCACCCCAAGTATTTAAAAGCCTGACTGGCAATTACACAAAATGTTTTGTTTCTTGGATGAATAAATGGAAACAAACAAGAGAACAAAACTATTTAGTCTCAAAAGCCACAAAAATTGACTTTCTTATCATAGAGACTGAAAAGCCACTCTGCCAACACGGGTGCAAAGAGATTGTTGCTGTCACTGACCTGTGGCGGTTTCGAGGACTTGAGTCTTGTGGAGATGCCGCACAATCCTGTTGCTGACAGTCTTGCTGCTGATACTCCTGTTGCTGACACTCCTGTTGTTGCTTCTTCAGCAATGCTCTCTGTCTCGCTCGCTCTCTTGCTCGACGAGCCTTAGCTTTCTCCTTTAACCCAAAAAATCTTTATTCATAAAAATCATTACAAAATATCAATACAATTAATTGACTGGTAAATAGTATTTGGTTAAATTTTTTATATAGCCCCAGAATTGTGTGATACAGCAGAGAGTCAAAAATCCAAACCAATTGGGACTGTAGGGAGTTTAGATTACCGATTTGTTCGGATTTTCAAACATAGCCTAGAAATGTCTAATAGACACATCATTAGGCCTACAGCATTAAAAATACAGTGAATGAAATAAAAACAATGATTTTTGTACTTGGGTATTTTTGTTACATTACTGTAATTCGTTTGTTAAAAAAAAAATATGTAGAGTTTATTAATTGGAAACCAACAAAACACAGACTGGCTCGGCACGTTCACTCATTTTCCTGCCAGGCGCCGACTGTTTGGCCCGCGTAATTGTAAAACATCTGTTGTCTCTGTGCTAATTCAATATTTTAAAACTCTCAGGATCGGTTCGGATTTTTGACGTTTAGGATATTTGACGTTCAAATTTTTGACTCTCTACTGTATGTCAAATAATAGCCACCTCACCCTACCTCACACACCTCAGACAATCCTTGACATTGAAGTTAAAATTATTTAGGGCAAGTAGTGAAGTAAGTTTAACTTGATGTTACTAGGTCTGATGAGGTATGTTTTAGCTATTCAAGTTTTTGTTGGGAGTTGATACTGACCCTCTCCTGTAACAGTCTGGCCAACTCCTTGTCCTGAGCCTCGATAGCCAACAGTCTGTCTCTGTCCAGCTGATCAAGACCTTCCCCTCCCAGCCTCTCCTCCTGCTGCAGACGACGTGCCAACTCCTGCAAGTCACAGGCCAGGTAAGTGACATACTACCACTACCAAGATAATGCTGTCGCATGTTGCAAATGCTTACCGTACGTTCCTTAGAGTAAGAATGTAGGTTTCAATCAGTTTGAAATGGCCGTATAGAATGACACAGTTACAACTCCCTGTTCTAATTGTACAACTAGAACTGGTACATTCATAGCTTAAACTGACATACATTTGCATAACAATTAAACAAAAGACTCCTAACATACAAACACACTACACAACCCTACTAAACAAACACACAGCAAATCTACACATCTACTTGAACAAAAAAATTAAAACAGACAGGAGGAAAGGAGTTCTATAACATACAACTACATGACAAAAATGAGTTGTAGAATTGACAGTGACAGACACATACAATAACCATTTAAACGTTTGACCTTTTTGTACTTGTTAGTATTTACATATCAAAATAATAATTGAAAAAGGAAAAGGCCATCATGTCCAAAAACAAGTGACTTGACTGGTATCAAAATGAAATATTTAGGCCTACGTATCTATCTATATATATAATACGTGAAGGCGTTTTTTGTAAACACAACTCCTCCATTATTTGTGGACCAATTTCAACATTTAAGGTTCGTCTCAATATGTTGTTTTGCAATAAGGTTTCAGAATTTAAAAATTCCTACGCTTAAGGGTGTGAGACCCTCTCAAAGGTCGTTTTCCCCATAGACAATAGACAGTTAATCATTATTTACACATTCATTAAGAATAGTACTAACGTCAATTTACAATTTTTTCTAAATATGTGGTTGAGGTGTTGTTTAGTCAAAGATCTGTTGGTAGTATTCTTTTAAAGAGCAAAAAGTTTGATTAATGAGCCATTGATGCAAAGCTGGTTTGAGGCCATCTTCTGTCTTGCTTCTTAGATCTGGTGGTAGCCTGTTGTAGATTTTCATTCCTGCGTATGAAGGTTTCTTTTCAAACTGTGCTGTGCGATGTTGTGGAAGGTTGTACTGCATGGTGTTTCTCAGGTTGTGTTGGTACATTTCGCCACGCCTTGTAAAGTTATTTCTTACTGCAAATAACACAACTTCCTGGATGTAGAGTGCTACAAGGGTAAGTACTTTCCACAAGAAATACACAGAACAAATTTTAAAACAAGAAAAACAGCTGTTTATAACAAGAAACTCATTAGCTTTTTGGGAGTAAATATTTATGTTTGTAATATTCAGTAGGTTGAGACCAAGTTAAAATGAGTTTTGTTTGAAGAGCAGAAAATGTCTCTAGTTCAAAAAGAAATATTGAAAACAGGTTCTAGGTTATGTTGCCAGTTCCTCGGACAAACTTATACAAAGTTTTTTGACTGAATTCCCCAACACAACATTTCAAGTCAAAAATAAGAAATTTCAAAAACTCATTTGCTGTTTAAAGATTTAGTGGCAATATTAGACCAAACATAAAAGAAGGAATTAGTGCTTATGTATTCAACGATCGAGCAGTTACGGTCAAGTTTATTTTTATGATTCAGGAGAGGCAAATAATATGCTGTTAAAAATATTTTATTGCTACACAAAGATAGACTGTTATATTTTGGATCTATTGGACCTCAAACATAAAAGTGTTTTCAAATTGATTGCACTCTTAAGTAAGCGGATATACATTTAATTTAAATTACACTAATATTTAAATTACATAGACCTACACATTAATACATCTAGGAGATTTAAACCCCTTGCCTGATTAAAAGAAAAGAATGTTATCAAACTAAACCTCAATTTAAGTTTTGTTCCTAAAATTAGTGATGGATGTGTAACTCCACAGCAGATTTATAGAACCACACTATTCTCTTCCATGTCATGTTCCTTTTGCGAAGTGCCACTACGTAGACCACTGATGTTCCGCCGGGCCGCCGCTGTTTTTTTTTTTTTTTTGTTAGTGGTGACGATGAATGTTGTTGTTGATGATTGTCGCTGAGGACTGCGCAATTGACGAGTGTAACTCTAGTCACGATAAAAGACACGTGCACTAGAGTTCACTCGCCAGTCACACAGCCCAGACAATCACTTGTGTCTGAAGCTTACTCTAATTCTACAATAGTTAACTTAAGCTAAAAATTACACAAAATCTTACTAAACAATTAACATTTAGTGATGTTTTCATGTTGATAAAATGTTATTCATAACAACAGATCAATAAGGACGCAATCCATACCCTAAGGTCATAAATGTCTATGTGAGCAGCGATAGTCTAAAAAGCATTCTTTCTGGCAAACTCTTAGACTAACTAAACTAAACAACTGAGACACTAAAATAGCCAAAAAATACAAATTAAAACCTAATTGATTAATATTGGCCTTAATGTGCCTTTTTGATCCTTTTTTCCTATTAGGCCTAAACTCTGCCTTTACCTGTATGGATATAATACCCTCGCCACAGCAAACCTATAGACTAAGCAAATTTTTTATCATGCTGATTCGCAAACTCGTTCGAATAAATGTAGGATTACATGTTTATACAAAATTTTATCAAAATTGGATCATTTTTGCTCGAGTTATCGTACTAACGAACACAAACATACATATATGAATTTGACGGATGGTTTACTGTACCTCTAGGGGACCTCAAAACAAAAGTAAATCAGTCCCGTGTCCACGTTTTACCATGAGTACTACGGTAATAGCTTATTCCCTATATGGGAAAATCACTAAAAAGGAAAAGTTGTAGCCCATTTCAAAATGAAAATTACAGTAGTCTCAATTATACAACCTAAACCGGCCGCGGCAAGGTGGGTTAAGCAAAAAGGTGGGATAACACTGAAAATGATTAAAACAACGTCCGTGCTGGCACGGTGACCGTGGGATGAGTTGACGATTGTGTTATGATCGCGGGAGATGATCAAGATGGTGCCGGGACCGCGAGATAAGTTGACAATAGTACCATAACTTTGAGACATTTTGATGATGGCACCTTAACAATAAGACAAAGTATATACACATCCTTCCAAGAAGTATATAAAATGTACATGGAGAATGGACCGAGTTTTTGGTCAGGATAAAAAAAAAAAATGGTAATGAAAAGTCAGGAAAGAGTCGAGAAATCAGATAGACACCCTGATATTATCCAGGAAGGCGGATTAGCAAGACTACTGTACATTGTGAGTACATTGCAAGCCACGGACAGTGTGTAATGGTTGATGTTACCGATTTCTGTCAAAAACAACAACTTTTTAACCAAGCCAAACTAGAGGAAAACAATTTGTAAACTATTATTTTTTTTAAACATATGAGCAAAATAAATGTGATTTCAACTTCACTATAAAAATGTTTATGGTTACATTAATGGTCCTACTGTAGCATTAATATACACTAACAGTTTTCATATGGGTTGCAAAACCTCAGAACTTGTATTTCTAAAATTTGAATAAGTAAACCGTACCTCATCCTGCAGCTCTTGTATTCTCCTCTGTCGCTCTTCGTCTTCCTCATCAACCTCGCCCTCATCCAGGTGGTGGGGAGGTGGGGGAGGGGGTGGCCAATCTTCTCTCTCTCTCACACTCAGGTGTCTGCACACAAACACAACTGTCAGCAGCTCAATGTGCCAAATCACACATAAAAAAAAATTATGATTGAAAAATAAGAAAAAAATTATTGACACAGTCTTTAATTTTTCAGAGAAGTTACGGAGTTCTTCCTATTAGAGAAACTGACCAACAACTTCTACAATAATTAACGAGTGTAAGAGTGAACCTACCTGAACTGTTTGTGAACTGATATATCAGAGACATCAGGCAATCCTACACTGTTGACATCACCAACAGGCACAGGGCTCTGCTTCCTTAGCTCTCTTTCCTGTCACACACATAAAAACATCAAATCAAACCCTCAGACTACATTAATTATTAAAGTTATTAGTTTGAATACTAAACAGAGTGCTAACAGTACAAGAGAAAGCTAACAAGCAAATTTTCATTAATGTTTTTCTTTTAGTACTACGATTGACTTTACACTACAATAGTTTAGTTCAAAGTTCTAGGCCAGGATTTTGAATTGTAGATTAAAGAGGATATCAGCTAGCTTACCTTAAAGGAGTACAGGTAGGCCATAAAACATACATAGGACACACAGAACACACAATATTCCGGTGTAGAGAAAGCAAAAGAGTTAACTTGTAAACTCAACAAAAGGGGACGAAAAATTGTTTGTCTTCTATATATGCTATGGCCTACCTGTACTTCTTTAAGGTAAGCTAGGCTGCTATCCTCTTTATTCTTCAAACCATAATTAACATTTTGAAAAACAAATTGGTTTAAAATGCTAAATTGATGGGTATTCATGGTTTATTACAATGAAGTAATTTAATTCAATGACTAATTTATGGTTATACTTCCATATTTCCTTCCATAAGATGTTCTTCTGCAGGCTTGCAACACAGTTGGACAGTTATTAGTTTCATTAAACAGCATAGTGATTATAATTTACATTACATTTATTTGTTTAAATGAGATGGATACAATAATTGCTTTGCATCGCAAATCTTTTATTAACAGCACTTTTGAATCTTTACTCCCAACTAGTTTTGATGATACAAATACATTGGCACAGAATCTTGTGTGAAGAGATTAATTCTCTTACTAAACACCAACCACAAAAAGTACTAAACCCTGAAAATGCAAAGCCCTAACAAAAGGCACTGATTGCATCAGACAACAGGACAAAGAATGTAACAACACAGCAGATGTGTAATAGACACCTTCACATCTTAGTACCTGTATTTTCCTGGCGACATGCTTGTCGTACAACTCAGTTCTGCGCCGACGCTCCTCCTCCTCTTGTTCTATCTTCTGCGCCAGCTGTCTGGCAACCATTGAATCTCGCTCCTCTCTGGCAACACAACCCACATACAAACACTTGACTACTTGGATCGTCTTCAATTCAAAGAAATATCACCAGCAAAAAGAAGACATATAAGAACAAACAAGTTTGATTTGAGGAAAGACGTGACCTGAGATAGTAACTTGAATTTAAAAATATTAATCTTTGTTTGTGAACTTTATATCTATGTGTGAACTACACTTATTAAACATAATGAGACTAGAAGGAACATACTCGGGACTGTATGTTAACAAGCTCAAAACAATAAAAAACAAACGGTAACAACAAACTGACACACTTTTATCCACTAGTCTGACATTAAAATTGATCATCCAACTACTTTACAAAGGAAAAACAATAATGAGTTAGGTAAGACTGTTTTCAGTATGTTTTTATGAAGAAAAATCACAACAATGCTAATAACTTTTGAACTGTAAAATACATCTTTTGGAGTTGTGCTATTTTGTTCGAGGTTAAAAGTTCTATAACAAACTAAAATAATCAAATAAAATTGTTTGAGCTGCTTTAACAATTTGATTTAACCATTATTTTGAGTTTTTTTTTGGGGGGGGGGAGGGGGGAAAATTAGCATTTAAAATCAATGTTTCTTAAGAAATTCCCTAATGCAACAAACGTGAGCAAATTTTATGATTTTCTGGACGGAACAACACATCTACACTTACTGTTCCATGATCATCTGTTGGTACTTGGCCAGTGCTTCTTCTTCCTCTCTTTGCTGCTCCACCTTGGCTCGAGGGAAGTCTTCACGGACGATGGCATTGCGTGACTTGTTGCCAGTATAGTGCTGTTCCACTGTAACAAAAACAATCAATGATATTCAACTATGGAACTCCATTGTTAATGTTATTACAACATTTAACTATGAATTAACAAAATAAAGTGGAAACCCCCATTAAAAATAATAATAAAGATGTATTGACAAATATTAATATTTGGTTTTCTTTCCAATATGAAGTAAAAACAATTCTAAGTTTACAGTCAGTGTCATTAACCTCAATATTACAAAATCAATCAAAATTTGTAAAATAAACTTTCAAAATTCAAAAGAAATTTGCAAGAGTGATTCATACAAAGAAAACCTTTACAACCACTTTCCTGCCAACCTTAAGTCCAGCCTCATCATCAAAACAAACAATGACTCACCATTGCCAACCTGACGAATCTCACAACTATCACACGTGCCACAAAAATACACACTAAATTATAATAGACCGGATAAAAAGCGGGTGAAAGCTCAGCTGTGTTACCCGAGGCATGACCCAGAGCAGTGTGGGACCAGTACCGGGTCAGAAGGTGGTGGGGAGAAGTGACCCACTTGGTTCACATCTCCAGCGACCCGCCTCCCGTTGACCTTTACACCCGACCCACTTACACAGCCCGGCCTACAAGACTTGCCCTTCACCAATCTTGTGGAGAGAAAGGAGAATATCTCAACACTATAAAATACCTAACTGATTCTTACGTACTTGTAAAATATACTAGTAGCACAGAAGATTGTAAATGTAGATAGATTGTTTCTCTGTGCAAGTAGCTTTACCTGTGCATCTTCATGGGAAATGTGAATTTATGACTTATAACTAAATCATACTAAATGAGAACTTATCCTCGACATTTAGACCTTAGTTATTCAGTCAATTTCTCCCTATGGACAATTTGCTTGGGTGTCATAATAATGATAGATTACCAAAATATTGACATATCATATATGACTTCATTGTAGTTAAACTGAGCAAATTTAGTCTGTTATTTTGTTATCTTGAACGTTTAGCATTTTTTTTATGCATGGCTTAATTTTTTATTTTGAGAATAACAAAAATGTATGCAATGTAAATTTTAAATCAGTTTTAAACCTAATACACTTGTTCTCTTTTGAGTATAATTAAGAAGGAAAATTACATAAAATTATTTGTAACAAGTACAGGGGATCCAAAAACGAGAATGAGACCAGTAGCTGAGTACGTCTCTAGCAACTGTTTAAGCAGGTTATATGACTGACACATTGAAGTACTGTAGAGCTGTTTACGGTGCCAACGCTCACAGGACTTGAGAGTTTGAAGATTCAAGAGGAAAGTAGAACACAACAGAGCTGGACCACTTTCTCTATTCCTCTCTACATAACATTATGAGAGGTTAAGGAATCAATAAATATTGACAATGACTTTCAACAATGTGACTAGTTTTCTCAACCTATTGCAAAATCCAAACTGAGTTTTGATTTTGTTTCGATTTAATTTCAATTGAATTGCCCTAATGCTGATGACTGGGCGTTATATAACTCTTTGGTAAAAATAACATGGGAAAAGCAATATTTTAAATTAAAAGAATATTAATATATCTATTAAAAACAGGTTTAAAGTGAATTCAAAAATAATAAAATTACATTAGTCGACAAAACACCATCAATGATGAATAATTTCTATTCACCCACCTTTTTTATTAAAATATTTTTATAAACTCAGTCATCTTATGTGCACTAAATTGTCTACATATTACACATGATATGATTTTCTATTTTAGTCTAGCTTATTATCATGCCTTCTTCCACATTATGATAACAGTTTCCTCCTATAAACTAACTTGTATTTGTTCAGCCAGATAGCTCCAGACTGCAAAATGTACAGCTGCATACCCTTGAATTGAAATTTGCTTTCATTGAATTTTTATGTCAACAAATTTGCTTTATAAACGCCATCTCTATTTTGATAATTTAAAATCTTGGCATACAAAGTGATATTTTTTATACTGAAACAAGTGTTTAAAAAGGAATATGTTATAAGTAACAACGTTGTTTATATGAGAAACAGTACAAGTTTCAATACGTCAAAGAATTAACCCTTCACCCCTGTAACAAAGGGAACCCTTTAAGAAGAAATTTGCCAACAGAGTTTGTCTAACAACAAAATTGTAAATATACTCAAAATAAAACTAAACAATACTGAACAACAAGTCTTCCAAAAAGCTATACAGAGCATTATTTCTTTCTGGGAAAGAAATAATCATTAGACAATCTTAGAAAGGCCATCTGGGTGAAATGTACTGAAGATTACAGTGAGGGAGATGGGGTCGCTTTCTCTGAGATCGTTATAAACTCATCTGGCCTTTCTCACTGACTTTCTCTCTGGGAATGCTGCTGAACGATCCAATATCCAATGGACCGACACAGCCAAGTAACGATCTTTGAGACGGAATATTAAATAAATATAAATTATTAACAGTTGAGGAAAAGTATAGCAGAACACACAAGAAATCAGGCAGATTTTGATGAGATGTAAGTTTATGATAACAATTGGTTTTTCAGTGTTCAAAAAGAATAAATCTGCTACATTTTGTGCATTATCACTGGAATAGTGAGACTGTTTTATCAAGAAAGCCAATGAACTTTAAACAGAACAATGGGAGCCCTGATATTAGAGATCTAAGAGTGTTTGATAAAATTACTAGTGTTTGTAGACAGATATTGTTTTCTATTCATTGAGTTTAGCTCCATGTTTATGTCGATGTTTGCATGTACCTTGAAACATGCATGATAATTTTACGGTAAAATTAATAGATTTAATCAATATAGCCTATGAACTTTTAACGACAGCAGTTTTGACTACCAGATATACAAGTTTTTAAAGAAATTGTTTTTTGCAATAAGCCTATAAAATAACCTAATTGGTTCTGTGTTTTTTTCACTGTTTGTTTTGATTTAGATTTTTTGAATATGCTTAAACATATGTATTGGGGTTTAAAAGTACACTGTGGTGATAAAGCATGCAGTTTTTTCAAAATATGTAGATTGCGTTGCTACTAAGTCCATTCACATTTTTCATAGTCATGATTACAGTTCAAGGTGCCAAATAATTTTACAATGAAAAAATTATGCCTCGCACCTTCTATTGCTATGATGTAATAGATACTTAACCCTAATTGTCAACGTGTAATTGAATCAAACAGTCAAAGCACTTTGATGTATTTTGGTCATTTTATTTAATGAATTTTTGAGTGTAGGAGATTATTTATTTTCATGAAAGAGATTTTTCAATTAGAGATATTTATATAGAGTTTTTCATAAAAGATGCCGAGTCGCATTAATTGTCTATTGATAAAAACAAATTTACCATAATCTAGATATGCCCCGCAAGTACTTCCGCAAGAAAATCACAGCAAGCATCCATTTAGTAGAGTTTCCAATTAGGGAGAAACTGTAGCAGCTATGATCAGATAAACAGCAGAACCAGTGAGAGAATGCAGGTCGCCATCATTTGCATGCGTGGCCGCAGCAGAGTCCATTGTTTCTGTTACACGCTCGGCCGAGCGCTGTGTACTCGCCGGAAACCACTCACTAATGACCGACCTCGCTTGCAACATAATCACAGTTCTCTCCATAGTTGTGTCGCAACGCACTCATACCTTCACAAACATAAATTTACCCCTTAAGGTTTTATGGTGGATAGTTCCGTTTTTTGCGTTAATTAAAATTTTGCCGCTGTCTATGGGTTTACACTTTACAGCTATATAAGCAAAAAGTAGAGAATTGTCTGAACAGGGAAGTAATATGACACAGAACAATGAGCAATAGGGCTTCAAGGTCAGACATGATTGAACAATGTAGTTTATGTCAGAAACAAACCACAGTGGTTTATAAACACATTGGGATTAGCCACTCTTTGATCAAGTAGGGTCTATCTTTAAAACTTAAAGTTCTCTTCATTATTATTTAGCAGTTGTAGCCTCGTACCGTTTGGCATGATAATCATTGAATCACCTAAGATGGCCAGAAATCGTGTTTTTGAACGTTATGTATTTCTGGCCATCTTAGGTTTGCTGTATACCCCCATAAAAGCCTAAGCAGAGATGGTGGTAAGCAAGTGAAGGCGGATATGGAGATAATTATCGGAGCAGTGTTTGGCATGATTATCTTTAATCACCTAAGATGGCCAGAAATAGTGTTTTTGAACGGAATTGGTTCAAAAACACTATTTCTGGCCATATTAGGATTGCTGTAGACCCCCATAAAGGCCTAAGCAGAGATGGTAGAAGCAAGTGAAGGTGCGTATGAAGAGAATTATTGGAGCAGGGAAGAAGGTGTCCCTGGGAGTTAAGTAAGAGTAACCAAGTGCTTTGGACCAAATGATGAAGTTATTTCAACAAAATTCTATTAGAAATTTTTCCATTATTCAGGTCAGTGCAGTAAAACATTAGGTTTGATTAATTGCCAGCAGCTGCTGTCAATGTGGTGGAACAGTCTATCAATCAAATAAACAGTGGATAGCTCTGATAGAAATTGACAAAATGAAATTGTTTTGTGAGTTGCACCTAAAATCTGGCATTATTTAACTTGCTACCGATTTTTAAAGTGTGCCCATTTTAAAAACTTCCATAGCAAAAATTTGTGATTGAAATTTGTTTATTTACATCACAAAGGAATCGGCAATTCATACGGAATAAAAAAATGACATATTTTACACCAAAAACAAACATCCAACACATTTGTAGTTTTAATCTTGTGGGAAGATTAATCTAAAATACAAAGTACCAAAAATAACAATGAAAAGTACATATGCAGAAGTTGGACTTGGGTAATCCTAGCAGTATAATACAATATTATGTGGAGGGGTAAACAATGTAAGCACAGACCAAGAAAACACAAGAAAATATTGGATGGTCAATGGAAAGTGTGTGTAGTGAGTGTGTGTATCCACTATGCAGGATATTTTAATTTTGGGTGAGGCTCTTTAGAGGCTGAGGCGCCTCCAAGCACTTTAGAAATATGAAAAATAAAATAAAATTCCAAAGATTTTCTTAATTAATGTTGTTCAATTTTATGTAACATGTTCTTATTATTTTTATTTCAGATTTATTTTAGTTACGAGGGTCGGGTTGTTTTTTTTTTGCTTATAGCTCTGTAAAGCGTGTGTACACCTCAACAAGGCTCCTTGCTGTTAACTGGCATCATTTGTGAACAGAATGATACCATTTGCAGCTCTGTTTTTAAAATTTGGAGGATTACTGAATCTCCCACCACATGCGAGATTAGGTCAGTGATACGTTTTTAAAGAAACATAACTGACACTGGGCGATGACTGAAGTTTACAACCTTAATGCAATGATAAAGGATAAAGGGGAAAGAGAAGAAATGCGCTAGGGATTTTTTAAATTATGGTCATGAAAATGTTCATTTTTGAAGGAATTGTGTTTTGGTGGGTATCCAGACTACTTGCAAAGTAAGTACCATAAAGGAAAAAATCTATCTATACACCCCTTATCCATTTCCACACTACCCTCACTAATTGCTAGGCATATAGAATGTCGGCATCGGATATGTTTCTCGTAATAAAATAAAATATAACTAATCTTATCTCGCACGCGGCGGGAGATTCAATAATTTTAAACTTTTTTTAAACACATAGCAAACTACAGAGCTGCAAATGGTGTCATTCTAATCACAAAGATGCCAGTAAGCGGCAAGGAGCCTCGTTGTTTTCTCTACAAGATGTTTTTTATAAAACTTGGGTTTTTCTAACAACTTTTAAACAACCCTCGTATTGGTAAAGGTGGTAGGAAAATCAGAAGCACTGCTTCTACTTCAGGCAAGTCCGTAGAAGCCTAAGTAAACTTAAAAATGAAGAAAATTAATTAGAAAAAATCTTGTTTAATTTTATATAACTTAATAAAGGATGGAATGACATCTGATTTATTACTTTCATTTAATTCTATGTCATATGTTCTTATTATTGTTTGCTGTTTTTATTTTTAAGTGTTTTGAGTTACTTAAATAACGGCTGTTGAACATTGATCGTGGAATACATATTATTTGGCAACCTCTACAGTTATGCACTCAATTTTGGATACCAACCTTCTTCCTTTTGCAGTTTGTATGCAAGAGCTCCATCTTCATGAACAATCCATTCCTTGCATACTGAAACAAAATAAAACATGGTTAAAAATATAAACAATCATTTTTTATGGTTTTATGAATAGGAACATTTTCTGAAATTAGTAATGAATTACTGTAGTTAATAAAATTAGTAGGACCACTTTTGTCTTACAGGACTTCCCTAGCTAAACATCGATGGTGTCAATAGGCATTAATTGTATTCCTTATTAAAAACCATTATTTTATCATGATAAATTACTGTTTGATCATAACCTTTACCTTATGACAATAATTATAACCTGTATTAAAAACCATAAGAATTTGAGGTGGTGACAGATAATGAACCTCTTATTTTTTTTTTTATCCAGGCGAGCACCTGACAAATGAATACATTTGTATTATTATTAGCCTATATATCATTTGCATTGAAACAGGAACACAATGTTGCATTTTATAATTTAACCTGAATAGGAGTGAAGGGTGGGTGTGTAAAAATGATATTATGTACTTTGTTAATGACTATGATAGCCTAAACTATTTCTTTAGCCAGGACCACTTTTTAAAAGCCCAACGATCAAGGACATGTTAAAGACAAATTGAAACCATCAAAAAAGGCTAACCGACTTTTCTCAGGATTGAACCAGTGACCTGATGATTACCAGGAAAACACTACTTATCTCACATTACTACACAATTGCACTTTTATTTTAGAAAATTGTTCGCACATTCTTTTAAGCAATGTTAAAATACCCCCGCTGCAGCAAACCGGTTTGCTGCACCAGGGAGGGTAAAGTTTTTTTTTGTAAAATGTTAATAGTTTAGTAAGAAATAAACGCATCTTCCAAATTTGATCGTAATATTTTTACTACAACAGTTTACTTATCTCCGTAAGAATAACATGGGAATTATAAATTTACCATTTTTTTTTAAATTTTCTCTGTAACTATTAGGCACATATTAACGCTTCAATATACAAAATTATACAGGGTGTTCATTTGAAAACTTTCCATATCTGTTGTGTGCAAAGGTAAGGCTTTTAACACTGGTTTGTTCTCATTTCCCCCTAATTTGGACATGCCAAATCCAATAAAATTATTTTCAATTTCGAAAAATGCCCCAAAAGGGCCCAATTTGGGGGGTAGGGGTGCTTTTTGAGAAATTTTCAAATGTAAACATGGGTTGTGTGATACATCAATTCAAAGGTCTAATCACCCCAACTATTTTGGTGCAATAAAAATTTAATTATCTTTAACCGTATTTACAGGGTGGGTCAAAATGTTTTAAAAAATGACTTTGAAGTTAAGTACCGTATTACCCGAACTACTGAACGGAACAGCGCCAAATTTCTTTCCAAGCTTATTCTTGATTTACTCTTTAAGATAACTTGTAATAAGGGGATTTTCAGTGTTATTTTCAATTTTTTTTTAAATCTCAAAGTTGAAGAATAAAAGAAAGCTGAAAACTCAAAATTCTTAAATAGCAAGGTATAGCAAATTTCATACCACGTGAAAGGTCCTTTTTTAACAAACATTTTACGTATTTAAGTTTTCTTTCTATCTCTTACCGTTTAAAAATTGCAGTAGAAAAACTGAATTTTCTATGGTAAAATTTTAACTAGTTTTCTAACAAAACACATTGCACTTTGCTCAACGATGTATTATGATTAATTACAAATTGATCAACTACTTTTACTTGTGTCAGTTCATCTTGGACTCTTCATCCTGTTCTTTTCTCATTGGTAACTGAGCCAGTTTCAGAAATTTCTTAACTAAATCATTTACAGCTTTATGACTTAAGGTCTTACCTGGATATTTATTGTTAAACACTTTGCAGTTATCCTGAAACACTTTTGTTCTGTCCAATAAGTAAAAATAAAGTCTATTTTTTTTAAGTGTACACCATATTCGATTAGATACTACAGAAAATAGTACTTTTTGAAATTAGTACTACCATTGACTAGTCAATGGTACTACAGAAAGCGGCCCACATGAAGGTTGTCCTCATCAGCTATAAGACTTTTTTTTCACAAAGTAAAACGTGATGACTTGTTTGTCAATCAGGGTATCAATAATTATGAATTGTTTCCTTCAGTTAATGCACCATTAAATGTGTCTAGAGACGAATTTTGGCTGTTTTATTAGAAAACTAGTTACAATATTACTATGGAAAATTCAGTTTTTCTACTGCAATTTTTAAACGGTAAGAGATAGAAAGAAAATTAAATACGTAAAATGTTTGTTAAAAAAGGACCTTTCACGTGGTATGAAATTTGCTATACCTTGCTATTTAAGAATTTTGAGTTTTCAGCTTTCTTTTATTCTTCAACTTTGAGATTTAAAAAAAAATTGAAAATAACACTGAAAATGCCCTTATTACAAGTTATCTTAAAGAGTAAATCAAGAATAAGCTTGGAAAGAAATTTGGCGCTGTTCCGTTCAGTAGTTCGGGTAATACGGTACTTAACTTCAAAGTCCTTTTTTAAAACATTTTGACCCACCCTGTAAATACGGTTAAAGATAATTAAATTTGTATTGCACCAAAATAGTCGGGGTGATTAGACCTTTAAATTGATGTATCACACAACCCATGTTTACATTTGAAAATTTCTCAAAAAGCACCCCTACCCCCCAAATTGGGCCCTTTTGGGGCATTTTTCGAAATTGAAAATAATTTTATTGGATTTGGCATGTCCAAATTAGGGGGAAATGAGAACAAACAAGTGTTAAAAGCCTTACCTTTGCACACAATTGATATGGAAAGTTTTCAAATGAACACCCGTATTTGTTTTTATAAGCTCTAAAAAGTGGTTTGGAAAGAAATTGCTAAATTTTATGATTTATTTTTTGTCAAAAATAGGAAAAACCAATTTTAACTCCATAAAATCCCCCATAAACCCCCGTTCCCATTGTCCGATCATGCTGGTTTGCTAACTCGTCCGAATAAATGTAGGTTTACACGTTTGTACAAAATTTCATCAAAATCGGATATTTTATGTGCAAGCTATCGCGCTAACGGACACATCCACATAGTTTGAACGGAGGGTGTTTTTGGCCTCTGGGGACCTCAAATTGGAAAAGTAAATCGGTCCCGGGCCAAGATCTTACCATGAGTTTTACGGTAATACCTGGACCCAGGACCGATTTACTCTTTCAATTTGAGGTCCCCAGAGGCCAAAAACACCCTCCGTTCAAATTATGTGGATGTGTCCGTTAGCGCGATAATTATCTGATTTTGATGAAATTTGGTACAAACGTGTAAACCTACGTTTCTACGGACAAGTTCGCGAACCAGCACGATCAGACTATGAGAACGGGGGTTTATGGGGGGTTTTATGGGGTAAAAATTAGTTTTACCCATTTTTGGCACTAAAAACACAAAATTTCACAATTTCTCTCCAAACCATTTTGTAGAGCTTAAAAAAATAAATAAATAAATTGAAGCGTCGTGGCGTGCCTAACGGTTACGGACATAATTTCAAAAATTTGTAAATTAAAAATTCCCATGTTATTTTTATGGAATAAAAAAAACCTGTTATTGTGGAGAACAAAAAAAACTGTCCTAGTTTGCCTGTTTATGGATATATATTTTAATCAAATTTGGCAATTTTGTTTGTTTCATTTCTAAGCTATCAACATAAAAAAAAACAAAAAAAAAACCTCAATACCTTTCCTGTAGCAGCAAGACTAAGTACTCATTCAAATTAATGTTATATAGAAAATAAATCTGACAATTTTACGGAGTACTTAAGTAGAAATCCAGCCCGGTAAATGGAAATTCGCTTAGTCTGCAGATTTGCTGCGGCAGGGGTATTTACTTGTTTAAAATACCAAACAATAAGCCAGAGTTAATAATTTGTAGGGTTAAATCATCTACAAGTACCTACATTTCTGATACAGATAATCTTTTAAAAATGTTAATGATATGAAAATAAATTTGAAACAATATCTGAATTTTCTCTGCCCACATCTTCAATGTACATGCCTATATTCACCGTGTTGTACATAATCACAGTTAAGTAATTGTAAAAGCACCAAGTATAGCTGAAGGACCCCTCTTCTAAAATAATAATCATATTCCACCCCTCTAATAATTAAAAAACAATAATCGACCCCAACGCATGTCAACATCAATACATAGGTATCAAGAATCATCTTGATCTTTGTGCTAACACTTGCACAAGTTGCCTTTGTTACGTCTACCAAGGTCACGTGACTACGTCGTACAGTGTGTAGTGTGTAGTGTCATTGTGTCTTTGTGACTGAAGACTGGAGGAATGCGGGGAGTGAGTCATTTGCCGCGACCTTGGACCGCCTCAGATAATATCTATCTAGCTAGAGCTAGGCCTACACTGTAATCAACACCACCGCTGCCGCTGCCGCTGGGTTTCTATTTCCAAGAACAATTACGACGTACATTACTTGATATCTGACCGCAGTCCGATGCTACGTCTCCACATCCGTGATTTTTCATTATAGAGCATATGAACACGTTTTACAAAGATAGTCTATTTTGCGCTCCAATTCAAAAGTGATTTTCATGTTTCAATAACGATACCATGCGAATAAGTTGCAGTGTTTGTACCAACAACATTGTACTAACAACAACTAAACTCAATACAGGCAAAATAACATGTAACAAAATCCACATTTCCAATCTTATCAACAAAACAAACTAAAAACTCTTTTAGCTGTCTCTTGAATTTACGAAAGTATATTTCACTCTTGAGATTATTTTAGAGGGCATTAAAGAAATTAAAGAATTATAAAACATTAACATTTAAAAATAAATTTTTGTGTCCAGAAATGTTCAAAGTAATTTGTAACAAACTCGCTACGATGATAAATAAATGCGGGGATAACACGACCTGATTTCGTAGTCGGCCCTGATATCCCATGGTGAAAATCCATACTGCTGGGCAGGGCACGTTTTGGACAGGCGACCGACCAGGCAGAAGTCTTAAGAGATTTCCAACCGATTTAGGGAGGGAGAGGGATGGTAGGGAAAAACAAATAAACAAAGGTAGGTAGTCGCAATAATCAAAG